GTTACGGGCATATCCCCCTTTTTAAACTATAATTTGATGTTGTTTAGCAGTTATGAGTTAGGTTTTAAATTTTAAAGAAAATAATTAATTTGCAACAGCTTCAGTTACTTTGCTATAATGTGATCTGCAGCAAACAAACAAAAATTGCCATTTGACCCCAAAGGCAGTGCATCTGTGTGCTGGAATGAAAGTAAAAATTTACCGAGATATACAATAACGGTTTAAATTCGTATAAATTGTTTTCCATTCTTTAACTCATTCGCTACTGATTATTTTGGGCTAGTGGATGAATTTTTTTAGGGAGGGTAAAATGAGATGATGACTGGTGCGCAGTTCAAAGTTCTTTGGGGCCATAATTCAGATAAAAATCAACATATTATTGCTATTGTTTTCATAAGAGTTTTACGGCACTTGCAACACAATAAGGTCATATAAGTGCCGAAGATTAGAGGTGTTCCCGAAGAGTAACATACACAAAAAAGGAGGAGAGATAGGGATGATAGATGTTTGAGTTTGACAGGAAAGAAGGAGAAAACCACATCAGAGCACCCACCAACATATTAACACCTTATTTTTCAGTATGATTTGTAGAAAACATCTGCATCGTTTATTTGAGTATTTTTCAACTTTGGTTCCTGTAAGAGGCGATTATGCAACACAATTTTGCTTGTTTGCGGACAAAATTTGAAAATAAAAAATTTATCATCTTTGGTGAAAGAAAAAAAATATGTTTGCACCTAGTCAAATGATATATCAAAATAACCATAAACAAATATTGAACGGAAAAATATTGAAAAAGTTGCAGTTATTTACATACATTCCACATAATTTGTACATTTGGATCATAAAATCTGATATTGAACATTTTTTTTAATCTTGAAAAAAAAAAAGGACAAGGTGCATTCACTAAAAACAGTAAAAAAAACAACAAACTTTTGTATCTGATATGGAATTATTCAGAATTGCATTTGGAATAAACCTACACAAGTCTTGAGTGGTACTTTTTGTGTAATTTCACTTTTTTTTAAACAGTGATTTTGAGAAAAAATATTTTAACAATTTAGATCTAGCACTGAAAAATATTGATTTCTCAATGACAGAGCAACTGCAATTTGAGCCCATTTTACTAATACAGTATCAATATTGGAAGAAGCTAGCCGTACTTAATGACGGCTAGATGGCTGGGCTAGCCGTACTTAATGATGGCTAGACTGACAAACAGCGAAAAATAGGCCTACTGAATTATAAATCAATTTCTAGTTTGCAATACCTAAAGTATTTGTATTTGAGACGAAACCAATAATGGACGAGACTGGGAGGACTCAGACACAGGGTACTTGATTCGGGAGTTTGAGGTCGCTCCCCCTGAGGCGAGGGGATACAATATTCTGTGTAAATTGTGCCCTCTCGATTTGGGCTCGAGGATCCTGCGCCAGAATCTCTCCAAGCTCAATCGGACTCGAAAAGATTACTAGGGGCAAAGGACAGGGAGTAGAATGCTGCAATTGTAAAGATCATAATCTGCCAACTTGCTATTTACAACCCGCTTACAAATACCCCCAACATACCTGCCACTATACTGTCTTCCCACTTAGCTCCTCTCTACACTTGTCTTGGCCCGATAGAATAGGCTAACACTAACGATGTCACCTTAGCAGAGACTGAGCCCACCATTTCGGAACCTCATGGTGACCGTAAAGATGGTTCCAGTAGGGAACGGGATAGAGGGTGCCCACGTCCCTCGTGACTCATTGGAGCAGAGGAAGATAGGACTAATGCTAACAGTACTTAAACGAAATCCCTCATCACCACTATTAATGTTAAAATCATCACCTCTCTCAGATCAATGACTTACATCTATAATCCTGGAATCTCTATCCCCGCTATTACAGTTAATTGATATACTAAGTATGCATGTAATACACTATTGGACACAATCATATGCACTTTTTTCTACTAATCAGATGGCGTCAATCTCATATAAATGGGCAAGGGGGGGAAAAAAAAAAGTATTTGAGACGAAACCAAAATGTGCCTTACTGACAGTGCATGAATTTTAAATGAATAATTACTAATGAGACCTGTGTACTCAACAGAGGGCCTAAAATAAGTACGGCTAGACTGCTAGGCCTAGGCTATGGGAGTACGGCTTGATGGCTAGGCTAGGCGTACTTAAGGACGGCTAGACTGGCATGCTAGCCATACTTAATAATGATGGCTGAATTGAAAATAACATTTTTGTTTGCAATACCTAAAGTGTATTACAGACGAAACGAAAAGGTGCCTTATTGGCATACATGTATGTATTTTAAACCTGAATAATTACTAGATCTAATGAGACCTGCACTTAACAGGTTTCAGTCAATAGGGCCTTACCCAAGTACAGCTGATTGGTTGTAAGCATGGGGGTTTGGCGGGAGGATACCAGCTGAGATACCTGAGATGTATACTTGCTACTAAAACATGATCATTTACGGCTCAACAGATGATAAAAGGCATAAAACCATATCTTTTCTTAAAGCTGATAGAATGTGCCATTCAAAAATGATAAGCGATCAAATAAATACAAACAAAGTGCAAAAGGCGATAAACTCAACAATTAGTACATCAGCACGGCGAAACAAGTGATAACACATGAGCGTGTAGTCGCTCAGCTGGACCGCGTCAATTTATCAATCGATATCTCGGCCAAGAGACGCTCTACGAGGTCAATATAACCTGTAAAGTCATTGGTCACTATCTATAACTTTGACCTTTAATTTACTATGTCATTCGCCACATAAGGAATACTGAAATTTTCCATTGAAAAGGGTCAGCATCTATGCCCTTATAATATAGGGCCAGCGCGTTTCCTGGTTGAAGTAGGTCAGCCCTATATATATAGGCCACCTCTATTCTCACCCCAGGTGAGAA